TCCTGCTTTGAGCATTTGCCCCTGGTTGTCAATGTACATCATAGCAACTGGTCGTTCTGCTGTTCTGTCTATTTGCATATATATAAAACCCTAATATGCAAATAGCCCAAACGGCAGAACAACTGAACAACCATTTGCTATGATGTGCACTGACCACCTGGGAGAACATGGTGGGCATTGGCAGCAGGTGGCAAAGCATGGAACATGGTGGGCATCGGCTGCAGAGGGATGGTGAAGTAGATGACGGGGGCGCCAGACCAAGGATGGGCACGGGTCGCTGTCATTGGGGTGAGCCTCTGGTGGTTACTGAAAATTCTTTGCTTCTGTGCACCACGGTCCCGCCCGGCACTCACAGCTGCTGCCAGCGCCGACCCCGCTCGCACCCGCTGCCAGTGCCAGCCCTGCTTGCACCCACTGCCAGTGCCAGAGTTGCCGCTCACACCCACTGCCAGTGCCTGGTGACAGCCCCGATCGCCCCTCAGAGCTTCTCCACTGCCCCTGCTCCTGAGGAGCGATCGGGGCCGGCAGTTACCTCTTGTACCCACTGAGCAGCTGCTGCTCATACTGACTGACAGCGCCAGCCCCACTCATACTGACTGACAGCGCCAGCCCCACTCACACCTACTGCTGGTGCCAGCCCCAATCACTCCGTGCTGTCAGCAGATGCAAGCCAACACCGGCACAGTCAGCGTGTGGGAGTGGCAGCAGTGGGAGCAGGACTGCCAGCAGACAGGGGACCACAGGCCATGGTGGGAGGGGCCAGGAGGGGGTGTGGAGGATGGGCCGAGACCTACCCCTGTGCCTACCACAGCTTCGCAGCCTATAGTTCCTTTGAAGGTGCACGAATTTGTGCACTGGCTCCCTAGTTTTTGTATAAAAAGCCACATACAACATTTATTTTTTTTAATATATTTTATTGATTTTTTACAGAGAGGAAGGGAGAGGGATAGAGAGTTAGAAACATCGATGAGAGAGAAACATCGATCAGCTGCCTCCTGCACATCTCCCAATGGGGATGTGCCCGCAACCCAGATACATGCCCTTGACCGGAATCAAACCTGGGACCTTTCAGTCCGCAAGCCAACACTCTATCACTGAGCCAAACCGGTTTCGGGACAACATTTATTTTACACATCTATTTTTTAACCTAATTTGGGATCTAATCCAATGGGAATAAGTTTTCTTAATGGACTTTCATTCTCCTTATCAGAGAGAAATTATATTTTTAAAATCTATCTTAATTTCCCAAGAAATACTTAAATTTATATCATCAGGAATAATGATAAACATAATGGATATCTTTCTAAATAGAAGAAATAGTACCCAAAATTAATGTTCCAAAAAGTTACCCAGCAAAGCACTATTAACCAGGAATAACTGAATAAAATATCTATTTCTCTAGAACTTGGAACTGATGTGAAATGAATTTAGTCAATGTAAAAGCACATCTACAAACCTGTGGCAGAAGAAGACATATTCATGATTGGTTGTAGGATCACTGATTACAACATCGTCAAGAAACCAGCCATTTCCTATACACAAATTAAAAAACAAAAAAAAAAAACAAACGTGGTGTGAGTATGTATAGTTCAGGTTTTACTTGAAGTTTTGAGAAAGAGGTTCTAGTTTCCAGACATATATAAAGGCCTTGGAAACCTTTAAGCTTTCATACTTCAAATAAAGCAAGACATAAGAGAAGTAAGCTTGAAAAAGCATTTAAAATTATCTCTTACACATGTAACAAAAACACAGTATATTTCAAGGCCTCGTGTTTTGTTACCTACTTCAATATGTTTTTCCTAACAGTTAAAAATAGAACAATTCTGCAATTGCTCTTGATTTCATAAACTGCATTTATAATCCTGGACCTGGCATCTCCCAAAGAAAATATATCTGAACTATTTCCAAAACACATTTGTGGAATAAAAGGGGCCACATGCTAACCTGGCTAGCTCAGGGAGGGCCTGTGCGGTGGCCATGCAAACTCAGAGACCTAAAGTAACCACAACAAATGGGCTGAAATTAAAACTTTTTAACTAAAAGCAAATTATGGCTCCTTTTGTTAAAGGATTTTGTTTATCTTATATGGTTATTTCATACACTAGAAGAAAATTACTTCATTGGGAAGAAGTGGGTCACCTCTCAGCACTGACGGGAAAACTGAGGAAGAAGCAGACACAAATGGCAGCAGAAAATACAGCTGAGACCTTGCTGCCAGGACAGTCTCCCTGACGTGCCACTCTTGGCACTAGAGTTTGTGCTTCATGGACTGTCACTGCTGCTGCATCCACCAGTAGCATGCTGAGATGTTTCCACTGCCATAGCATTTAACCCAAAACTCCCCCAGTATTTATGCATCACATTTCCTAGCATTCTAGGCAGAACAGCTACTTAGTCAAGCCTATCTTATTTCAATGAAAAATATATCTACTTTAAATTTAAAGAATATCTGGGGACACTATTTTAATTTCAGTCAATACTTAAACATCAGCCTATTAAAAGTTTTCTATAATTATTCTCTAAATTTGCACAGAGTTTCATATGAGTATAATGGAAGCAGACCTACAGAAGGTTCTTACCTGGGCCAAGCCCATCGTGTCCTATGACAATTTTGTATAAATCCCCAAGGTGCACAGCTTCTAGGAAGAAGGTGTCAGTCTACAACAAATCAAACAAGTAGTTAGATCTAGACTATGAGTCTGATTTCTAACAAGAGTATAAATTTAGATACAGTAAAAATTGTGAGAAGAATTAGGTTCATTCAGTAAATATTCAAATATGTTTGAAGTACAACAATAATATTAACTTATAGAACGTGATAAACAATTTTCTAATATACCCAACTCCTTTTCACTACCAATTTTTCATTACAAAAGCATACATTGGGTCTCCCTACAAACATATTTTTCAAAGCACATTGAGATTGGTAGCAAAGGTGGAGGTGCGGACCGGGCTGGTCCGACATCCACCTGTGCTGTTTTTCTAATCAGGAGGGAGATCGTCTCTGTGGAGGCCACCCGTGAGGAGCAAGGGGTCCCAGCACCACACCAGATCCCCAGCCCAGGGTCCCAGAGTTGGGAAGAGAAGCCCCTTATGTCTATTGGCTGTAAAAAGTCACTAGCTGTTCTCTGGGATTATTTCCCTCTTTTGTCTCTTTGCTGCACTAGAACTTACTTCAGGATCACTGAGCCTCTGTCTCACTAAAAACCTACCCAATGATATTTGGTTTTGCCTACATTTTAACACTTGCCTGAAGTGAAACACTGCATTGTCACTGAACAGTCTGCTAGTTCTTTGTCAGAGTGATATTTCTCAATAAATATTCACAGCACAATTTCCTGAGATAACAACATGAGGTTTAGCAGTAAACTGACTCATACTCATGCATTCTCTTCTTTGTCATCTGAGAGACACGTGATTGATCATACAGGTTATCAATATGAAAGGGTTGCTGGGTCAAGAACTGAAATTTTGTTAGGCATACGAGACATTTTTTCCATAAACAACTTGATTGAGAACCAAATTGTTCAAGATGAGAGACATTTGAGAGCTGAGGTTTGACTGCATACTTAACACTACTGAACTGTGCACTTGTAATAGTTAAGCTGGTACATTTTATTTTATGTGTTCTTACCAGAATTTTTTTTTAAACCAGACAAAGGACTTTTTATCACTTACTTGTCCTCTTAAAAAACTGATGGAGCTCTTCGATCGAAATAGTTGTCTGGATCCTGTATCTCCCTTTTTCCCATAGATTGATATGTAGACATTTGCTACTGTCCCAGCATTCCAAAGCTCACCCGTTGCCACGTGCACTTCATATACTGTTACTGATAACAAAAGAAAAATAAGCTTCTTATGCCAAGCATTACTTTTATGATAGAAAAATTATAATACATATACATACATATGATCAAGAGTTCCAGTTTCAGGTAAGATAGAGTGACACACTCCACCCAGTCTCTCCCACTGAATACAGCTATAAAATCTTGACAGAATGCATGGAACAGCTATATGAAGACTTTAAAAATAAAGAGTAGCACGAAGATTGGCGAAGAAGACCAGTATTTAAAGTACCAAGATGTGGCAGTGATTTTACCATTTTTTCTTCTTTTTCACCCTCTGTTATCTCCCACCTGGTAGCAGAGACTTACAGGCAGAAACTGCCACAGGAACCATTGCCGGGGTAGGAAATTCTGAACTGTAATTAACAACTGTTGGAGGCTCATTGCTGACAAGTCTGAGTGTTTAAAACTCCAGGGGCACCCAGTCATACTTTTGTGAGTTTTGTCTCCAGAAGCTCAACTAGATTCTGACAGTAAATATCAGAGAAAAATTTCCTCCTGTGTCTTTCCTTAGGAAGAGGAGAAAGGGGAGCAATCTGACATATACCAAAACATTCTGTTCTTAATAAGTACTGTCCTCAGGAGAAATGAGTTATTTATTATAATGTGTTCATTACAATTAAAAACAAATTTAAAAAATACCTTGCACAGCCTGGGAGAGCCCACTTTTGCCCTGGTTTTCTTAGCAACCCTTATTGTCTTCAGGAAAATAATTCCATAATTAAAACAGGCAAACACTTTTAGACTTCCTTTTACCTTAAGTGACAAATACTATCCTACTTCTTTATAGACTCAAAAGTATACAATATAGGAGGGGGAAAGACACTGATTCAACCTTTCCTTACTGTATGTATAATAACATCATTTCATACACAGCACCAATCTCTGCTAGAATTTTGGGCAAAAATATGGCTGTCAGCCATCATTTGCTATATCTACCACTGACCTACATAACTAAAGGCCTACCAAATTTATAAATAGCACATGAGATGATAAAGATAGCACATGAGAAATACCACTTGAGAAGTTTCTCCAAGCCAAGAGGAAAAACTAAAAATAATTAAAACAATTTTTTTTCATTAATCAACCATTGTACCAAGTACTAGAGGGAAGACAATGGAAATCAGTAAGTATTTGTAGAATATGCCTTCTTTTGATCAGAATTATACAATTAAAATGAAACAAAGAAGCAAAAAGTAACCTCTGCATCATTACTAACAGTGGATAGGAACAGGGAACCTAGCAAATACCTCTTAGGGAAGAGAATGGGCTGATGAGAAAGAATGTTGAGAAGAATACTTAGGAGTGATGAGAACAGTGCTCATACATAGCCTTCACTTTGTAGCAACTGGAACTATTCATATCACTTCAAAAATACTTTAACTTCAGCAACTTAACAGTTTAATGCACCTTATTTAAAAACCACAAAGGAATCATCAGTCTCTGCAAATGTTTTACCAACCTAGTTCCCTAAAACGATACCCAAGTCATGTACCTAAGCATAACATTAGATCTATGGCATTGTGTAGCTCTTGCTAATAATCACATAATATTCATTATCATTTCTTTCTTTAGAAAACTAAGATATCATATTTTTAGTAGAAAATATTCTAGATTGGAGAAAAATTTGTTTTTTTTTCAATTTCCCATTTAATAATTCTCATTTACCCTTTTCCTATTCTTTTCTAAAGTAGAGACCAGCAGCACAACAGCAAATAGCTGGCATAGACAATCACCCTGAATCCTTGTGGCAGTCGAGCTGTGACAGTCTAACCCTGAGCAGAGCCTACTTCTCAGCCACATATACACAAGGCTTGAACACACCTTTACCTTTGATCAAATGCTTACAAAGTCATTGAGCAGTTCTGTTTTCATTTCCTATTCAAATAGATAAATTTTCAAAAATAAGGCAGAGCCTGGTGGGAAAAGCATACATTGAGTTGCATTTCTTAGTCCTGGAATAAATTCATTGGACATTCAATTTCTCATGACCCTCTCAGAATTCATTTTCTCGTTTTGATGAAGAGGTATTTCAGCTGACCTTCCTACAGGGTTAACTGTTGAGAAGAAACCTATTTCTGGCTGCCACTATATGGAACAACTAAAAACTATACCACCAGCAGAGATAGAAATTAGCAATTCCTTATTCATTCATTCATTTATTCATTTACTCAACATGGATTTATCAAGTCCCCTGTCCTTCAGCAGTTAGGGAAACAAGTGTTTTTTTGTGACCTGGAGTTGTATTTTTCCTACCTGGAAGAGTGGGTTGTCCTCTGTTTAAAACAGGAAATTCTCGACAGATTTCCCCATCCTCTTGGTCTCGTGCCAACCATCGTTGTACAGGTATATAAAACTTTTTTCCAGAATTCATGTCCCACAATTGTATCTACAAAAGCAACAATAGTACTTGTAAAAATATTTAAGAACACATTTTTATTTTAAAGTGATTTTTATAAAATATTAGCATGAGCTCAGATTTCATGCACTACAGTTTCGAACTGGTAGTTACTTCTCTGGGGTCTTAGCAATGAGTGAAATTCAAGCAATAATTATTTATTTGAGCACCTATTATACCATATTATATCTAATCATTTATCGTGTAGTTAATTAAAGATGTTAATAAATGTCCAAAATCATCAAAAAGTAGAAATTATGTTTTCTAATTCTAAAATCTAGCATTTCATAGTAGGGTACTATTATTGTAGTTGTTATCTGTTAATCTTTAAAATGTCTTAAATCAGAGATTTTCTGCTTAATGTGTTTAGGAAATCATGTTGTTATAAAGGTAGATTTTCAAGACCTAAACTAATTCTGTGGGTCTTGGTAAGGTACAGAAATTTACATTAATAAATTTACATGAGGTGTGATTATGATGTAATCATACTTTTAAAAAGGCTCTCGAAGAATCACACAGAATTACCATTGGCTTGCAAAGCTGCTACTGCTGCCACTAGTGTTTGATTTGATTTTTTAATTAAAGCTTAAGAAGATTATTTGAGAAATACACAAAATAAATCACCAATTGAAACGTTTTTTTTGTACTCTTCCTTATCTATACATGAAAGAATCAAGATTAAGGTCCTAAGAGCAATGTGAATATTTTATGTGCTGTGAAAATCTTGTATCATTATTGCTATAATGGACTGTCTTTTAATTCAAGTCCCTTCAAGTTAGAAACACAAGTTGGCTTACTTAAAATTTTAAATTTCAAGCTTCTAAACTGTATTATAAGAATTGAACAGAAAATTCCCAGCCAATTATCTAGCATCTTAATTTTAAATAATGAGTAAATTATATACAGGTTTTATACACTCAGAATAAAACTTTGAATCAAGAATATCTCTCTTCTTCATTGGTACTCAAAGACAGGTGAGGTAAACCTCAGGCAAACAAGTTACCTTGCAGTGAGAAAGAACTTGCCATAGAGAGAAAGACAATAGGAATTTTCAGCAGCCTGATTTATTTTGTCTTTCCTGTGCGATATTATACAAACTTTTTCAGATAACGTAACCACTGTATTAGCATTCCAGCTTCAAAATGGATATAATATTGTTTATTGGTTATAAATCAAATGAGATGGCAGGGGGATTGATGATCATTTTCATAAGTTAGTTAATTAGGAGAGAAAATAAAAAGATATTATTGCATATGATCACTTATTAATTTGAATATCATCCTTTAAAAGCTCTATATAGTATAAAAGAGAGAATTATTTTATACTGAAGCCAGGCAGTAATTTTGAATTTTGAAATCAAATTTCAACTCTCTGTATTTTCTTTTATGAGCTTCATTTTTTTTCATTCTGCCTCAAGATTTTTCAAAGAAAAATTATTAACGACTATATATTTCCATTGATGGATTAAAAAATATGTTCATCTTCCATAATTTTTCATTTATTTTTCTCACATTATAAAACTACTGAACAAGTTTGCCAAGAATATCAGGAGTTTGACTAGATGTTCTTTGCATTTTAAGAACTTGTTTAGTTAAAGATCATTTGTTTTTGAAATGACAAGAGATAGAAATACACCATATATAAAAATGAATGACAAGCTGTATGATTTCCCGTTCTCACGATTTGCATTTATTGGCAATCATGCTAATAAGTAAAATTTTTAAAGTAAAATGTAAACGGGTTCTTTGTTGTTGTTTTCTGTGGGGACTTTTGCTCTTAAAAGTATTCAGGGGGCATTATCTTGATTAGCATGAGCAGACTAAATTTGAGAGCTGGAAGTCAAGGTCTAATAGATTATTATTTCATCGACATTAATGTTCTAATTTTACAACTCTACTGAAGCAGACAACATCCACCTAGTTACTAATGCAACAATGTCAAGAAGCAGTGTGAGTTATTCCAGAGTCCCAAGTATTTTCTTCTCTTTGCAAAGAAATGACAGAATTTATTAGTTGAGGTGCTTCCCTTAATTAATTAGGGATTAAATTACTAACAAGGGCATGTGATACTACCACCTTAAGGATTACACTGACTAAAAAGGTCCAGGTTTGACTCCATCAACTCATAATAGGCATGAAATGTTCTCTTGAGGTTTGATTCCTGAATAGAATTTGCAAAGTCTTTGAAAAGGATAGGGGTGTTGATATGTCTTTACCTGTTTACAATGCCAAGAAGGGGAGATTCCAGAGTTTGTATGACCGATACGAATTTTAAAAAGTGTACCAATGTCTCCAACCGTGATCTACGAAGTAATCATGAGAACATCTTTCAATGCAATTTACAAAATCCCATTAAAAACAGCTAATCTTAAGACATTATATATTGATAAAGGGGTCAATCCATCAAGAAGATATAAGAATTATAAACATGTATGAACCTAATGACAGAGCATCAAAATGTATGAGGCAAAAACTGACCAAACTAAATGGAAAAATAGTCTACAATTATAGTTAGAGACTTCAGAAACCCACTTTGAATAATGGATAGAACTAGACAGGAGATCAATAAGGAAAAAGAGGACTTGAACAACATCAACTAAGTCTAACGGACATGTATAGAACATTCCACTCAACAACAGCAGAATATAGTTTCCCAAGTGTACATGCAACATTCTCCAGATAAACTATATGTTATGTCACAAGAACAAGTTTTGAAAATTAAAAATAACTGAAATCATCTATCTTTTCTAATTACAATGGAATGAAACTAAAAATCAATACAAGAAGAAAAACTGAAAAATTCACACAAATGGGGGAAATTAACATACTTTTAAGTAACCCATAAATCAAAAAAAAATGCAAGAGATATTTTTAAGTAACTTGTGATAATTTTTTAAAAAATACAAAAACAGAGGGAATTCAATAAAAACATAACTCAGAGGGGAATTTTAGATGTAATTCCATAAAATTTGAATGTACTTTTTGAACCCTGAGAACAAAGACACCTACTAAGAAGGGCTGCTGGTGGATAAGTGAGCTCAAATTTAAAAACAGAGCCTAGCAGCAACTTCTACACAGGGAGTCTCTCATATAAGCTGCACTTCAGGGTGAAATCCGCATTGAACTGCCTGACTCTGCATTAAACTGCCTTACTCTGCACTGACCTGCCTACCTGCATGCTGTTTCTGCCATCTGAACCAACCCTTATAAAGAAGTTCCTAGAAGCCTATTTTAACCAATAGGGCTAAGGCTTTCCCTATCCCTTTAGAGCTACATAGCTCCAATCAACCAGAGCAGCTCAACTCTGACCAATCAGGACAGTGTCTTTTGGACCAATCAAACTGTGAGGATCTGGAGTCCTCATTTGCATGAGGACAGATCAATCAAAAACCAGGGGCAGGGACTTCTCTCTCTCTACCCAGTTCAAAACAGTCCCTCTATGCATCCATTCATTCAACAGATATTATTAAACATATATAAAGTGCAAGGTGCTTGACTCATTTCAAGTCTTGCCTTTCATACTAATCTTTCTGACTTTAGTTTAACAACATAATACTAGTCTCCCCTGCTACCTGTTTCTCTTTGCCTCCTGTTTCTCCCTTGCTCTTGATCTCAATGTGTCTACCTATGAATTAATAACTTGATGACAGCTTTGTTGCCCTCCTTTATTTGACAATTTTACTTTTCTCTTTTTTATCATGACTGAGAGTCTTGTCTGTTAAAGCCTCAGCCAGAAAGGCATAAGCCCTTGCTCTTGACCACAAGTATAAAAACAATAAATGTTGGCTACCTAGTACTTTCTTGTTGTATTGCAGTTTTATTTGTGTTTAATATGCTTAAGCATGATTGAGCAAAACTGCCACGAATTATTTTTGATTGATTGCCTACAGGACACATGTAGTCATAATGGAATGTGCCAAATTCAATAGATTGCATTCATTCCAAAGGACTAACTGTATCAGTTATATTATCAAGTTTTACTTGGTTTTATTACTTACAGTAAATATGTTTTCATGGCCATCCTGAAATCGAGCTCCATCTGTTCCATAAAGATAGATGGGCGCTGAGCTTCTTCGTTGTCCATATAGTATAATGTAAACCTGTGAGCTGGTTCCTGCATTTGGCAAGTCACTGGTGGTTACGGAAACTTTCCAGTTACCACCTACAGCAGCACAAATAACACACAGCATTACAGCACCTTATAAAATGGAAGACTCAGAACAGCAGGTCATCATAACCTAGGAGAGTTCAGGACAGACATAATTCACTCTTCTCCACCTCCTCTGGAAAAGTCTATAACACAGAGTTAGACTGTTGTTTAAATACTCAATAAAATTACTACATCCTACAATATGACCCTGGGAATATTTCCTAAAGGATCTTTAATAATAGAGTAAGAAAGAGACCTTTATCCTGTCATTGTTAGTTGGTCATCCTGGATTCCAAGATACTCACTCATATAACTTCTCTTAAGTTTTTGAAAGCATTTTGACAAAACATCACCAATACTCTTAGCTCTGACATGTAATTGTGCATTCAGAATTACACCTCTCAAGATCATCTGAGTTCAGATATTTATTTTCCAAATCAAAATAAAATATCCAATAATTTACATAAGCATAAAAATTGAATCAGAGATGTTAGAAGACATTCGAGGAGTCATTTGTTACCATTTATTCACTTATTGTTTTAAGTACCCTTAATTAACATATGAAGTAACTGAGTTCAAAACATGTTAAGTAAATGTATCATCAATCAACAAATAAAAACAGTGCTGGAGGGGAGCGGAGGCAAGATGGCTGCAGTCTCAGAAGTTCCTTCCGCTTGCACCCAGCACCGGAGCAGACGTGGCCAAACTGCAGAAGATTCAACTTGAAAAATACCTGCTCTGAAATACTGTGAGAGGGCAGCACCGAGAAGATGGAGTCGGTGAAGCCAGAGGGAAGGCACAGCAGTGCAGCCCCCGCCCCCTGAGAGAATGGGGTCTCAGCCCCACACAGGGACCCCCAAAAGAGAGCAGCAGAGAAGGGAAGGGGAGCCCACATAGCATCAGTGGGAATCAGTGTTGATTTGGTCCATGTGGGAGACTCAGACCACACTATCCTTCTGATCTGGACAACATGCCAGTACAGGCCCACTCTCTGGTTTCAGTTCTTAATGCCCTCAAACTAGTAGGCCAGCTGTCTGCAGATGTCTGCAGCTGTCTGCCAATTAGGCAGTCATTGTAGACACTATTCCTATCCCACTCAAGAGCACACACGGTTAAATCAGTCCTATCAAAACATTCCATATCACCCCACATATGTCATATCAACCAGATATACTTCATGTGAAGCCAATTTACTGACCAGGTCAAGGCTTACATTAAATCATGTGTGGTGGACAGCCAAACAGGGCAAATCTAGCGGAGATCAATATTAGCCTCCTGAAGAAACAGAGCACCAGACTGAATGCCCATAATGCTATTCTGCACCAGACATTCTGGGAAGGAGAGAGACAAAGGTAAGTTCTATGAAACATATGACAGAGTTCAATGTACACATTGGTGTATACAAAGGGTTAACAGGAAGAAAGTAAGCAATAGCACTATGTATTCTAGAGAGTTTTCTGTTGATGCAAGTCATTCTTTACATAATAACTTTATCTTTTGACTGAGAATTCCCACTAATCGTTGTATACTTAAATGTGAGTCTAAAAGAATTCCCTATATCATATAAATGACAGGGAATTATTATTTTAGATTTTCTATAATACATTACTAAGACCAAATGGGATATATTATATGACTATATATAGTATTTAATGTCACTTATTTCTCAGTAGCCATTATCATCCTAATATAATGCGTGGAATTCCTGTGATGCACAAGTCATGTTTCTCAATGAATCTAAAATCCTATTGTAACTAACTTGTTTATATTGATTCATCTGAACTTTAAGCAGTTTATTTAGATAGTAGCCAGTAGATTCCAGCCACTCATCAATATGAGTCTTACAAGAGAGATATCACTGTGATGGTGGTATAGGAGACCCCAGTCACCATCCCCCCAACAGAGATCAACAATTAGACAGACAGCCATGAGCAAAACAAGCTCTTGGAGAGCTCAGGAGTCCACTAAGGAAACTTCAGCAAGAGAGTGGAACAAAACCCCTGAGAACAAACACACAAAAAAAGGAAGAAGAACAGCTTCATTTGCCCTACATCATTTCATCACCCAGCCCAGCACAGCTCGGCACCAAGGGGGAACTCCCCAGCTAAAAAGAGTTCCTCTCACTGGGAATGGGAAAGAGGGGTGAACAAACAGCTGTCACAGCCTTTCGGGGAACCACATGAAAGACCCACTTCAGGTTCACCCCACCCAGAAACCGGCAAAGCTGAATCGTACAGAGAGATCCAGGGACAGGGCAGACGAGCAGGGGTCCCCAGTATAAACCACACAGCGGGAACATCCCTGGTTCCAAGTGACGGGCTCTCAGAGGACCCCAACAGTTCTCTCCACTGAAAAAAAAACAATAGTCAGCACAGCAGCCACAGTTCCCCAGCTGATTTCACCAGTTTTTACCACACAGGTATTCAAATTCAAAGATACCAGCCACCGGATTCCCATCCCACTCCCTCCTACCCACACCTGCTGGAGGCTGGGATTCACACCAGCAGCTCATGCCTAGCTTTCTGAGGCTGCATGAGTGCAACTCGCCGCCTAGACCCGTGAAGCTAACTCTCACCACTGTGTGCCCTCAAGGCCAATGCCTCTGGCTTTGCACTTGCACTCTAACTGCCTACTATAGCACCAACCTCTACTGCCCTGTATGCACCCATGGTGAGAACCTGTAGCCCTGGTACACTGTTGGTGGGAATGTAAATTGGTAGCACCACTATGGAACACAGGATGGAGGATCCTCAAAATATTGAAAATAGAACTACCATATGTGCAGCAATCTCATTTCTGGGTATGTATGCAAAAGAGATGGAAGCATTGTCTCAAAGAGATATCTGCACTCCCATGGTGTGCATTCCAGCATCATTCACAACAGCCAAGACATGGAAACAACCTAAGTGTTAATCAACAAATAAAGAAAATGTGGTATGTATGTTTGTATATAATTGTAATGGAATATTATTCAACCATAAAAAAAAGAAGGAAATCCTGCCATTTGTAACAACTTGGATGGATCTTGAGGAAAATACGTTAAATGAAATAAACCAGAAGATAAATTATCTCACTTAAAGGTGGAATCTACAAACATCAAACTCATAGAGACAGAGAGTATAGTGGTGGTTGCCAGGAGTTGAAGAGTGGGTGAAATGGGGAGATGCTGGTAAAAGGGTAAAACTTTCAGTTATAAGATAAAATAATTCTGAAATCTTATACACAGCATGGTTGACCATAGTTAACAATACTACATTGTATACTCAAAAGTTGTTATCGAAGTATATTATGTTCTCACCATACCAACAAAACAGTAATTATGTGAGATGAAAGATTTATTACCTAACCTTATTGTGAAAAACATTTCCTATTATGTGTGTATCAGATGATCACCTTGTACACCTTAAACTTAAACAATGCTATATGCCATTTATAGCTCAATAAAGCTGGGGGTGGGGGGGACTAATCTTGCAAAAGATAAGAACTACTGTCAAGAAAAAAAGCAGTTACATGACTAATTTTTTTTTTTACTCCATCCACCTTTATTGTTTTTGTTGTTGCTGTTATTGTTATGGTAATCTCTGTGTATGAATCAGAATATAAAAATTAATAATAAATTGAAAATATGTATGCATAGAAAAAGGCTGATAATGTTCATGCCCTTTGAGAAGAATTCTAATCATTAACACCTATCACTACATACTGCCTTAAAATCTATGCTGGGGATTGTTTGCTGCTTATTTCCAGAATTACAGAATGAGCAGATCTGCCTTTAAACCATCAAATATACCAAGACTCCCTCTTAGAGGTTTTGTTGTTTATTGTTTAATTTTCAAAAAAATTTCTAGTCATAAACTGTGTGCTACTTTTCTGTGTGGAAAAATTATGAAACACCTTGAAATGGACCAAAAAAATTACTGAAATGCCTTATCAAGTAGTCTCAGGGATATATGCCTTCCATTATCTTAATTATCTTACAATCCTGTAAATTGTAAAAAAAAAAAATAGTAATGTAAATTACTCTTGTCCATAGAAATATAAATTAGTTGTGTCCAATGGAATGCTACTGTCCTAGACACACCCATATTCATTTTGGCATTCTTTTTCTCACTATTTTTGTGTGATACTTTAAATTCTTCTTTGAGTCCACTGTAATATATTACTGGTTTTCTAGTTAATGAGTTAAATAAAATACTTGGCATGTGTTTATATTATATCCTGTATGGAAAAAGTGTCCTACTTTACATTATAATAATTTTGATTTATTGTGCTACTCTGGGCAGTTACAAAACCCCATTTAGCCTCAATAAACAGAGAATACAAAGTATTTTTATGTTTTTAAAGTAGAGATGTTTACAGCCTATCCACAAAACTCTGGGCTATTTGTGAGGATGAAATACAGGCGATATCGCAGGCACAGTTCCAGACTACTGCAAAAATAATGAATGATAATAGAGTCACACAAATTTTTTGGTTTCCCAGTGCATATAACAGTTTTGTTTACACTATGCTGTAGTCTAGTGTGTAATAGCATTATGTCTTTAAAAAAAACAATGTACATACTTTAATTAGAAAATACCTTATTGCTAAAAAATGCTGACCATCATCTGAACCTGTTGGGAAAACGATGCTAATAGACAAACCTTCAATTGATCTAAAATGTATCCACAAAGCACAATAAAATGAGGTATGCCTATACAGATACAGAAGAAAAAATGCTTCTTTCTTGGGTCCCACGAGCCTCAGTCTCCTCTAACTATGCTAGAGATACTATTGCCCATCTGAGGGATTTATTGTGAGGACTAAGACAGTATACATATAGCACCTAGCATAATTTTGGCACCAAGCAGGACTCAAAATGTTAGTCATCTTTACTTTTATAAAGGGTCATAGGAATAGATGTTGAAATTATATTTATTTTTTGTATCTTAATACCCATGAGAGCGAAATAATTCTTGATTAGACAAACACCAACTTTTTGAAAGCATATCAAAGACACTAGTACTAATGGCTTTAAAAAAAAAACAGCTCAAATATATTCAGCACTATGTGGCAAGCTCCTTGCTAAGAGCTTTAAAATCATTCTCTCGAGTGAACCTCTCCCAGGAATCTTCTAAAGGTAGCTTCTCATAAGGATGTTAAAGTGGTGGCCCTATGTTACAGATGAGAAAACTAACCAAATGAGTAGAACAAACACGCAAAGTGGCGTGGAGACCTCAAATTTAACCTTGAATAGGGGGCATGTTTTGTGTCACTGAAAGGTTTAAGAGGTAAAACACCTGAAAGCTTCATGTGAAAATAACCCCTCCCCCACTAAGCCAATCACTCATTAACTTAATTGCAACTTAAGTTAGGATTTCTGGTTTCTCCCATTATTCCCAAATTCAGCTTT